CCCCCGCCCCGCCCCCTCCTTCGCCGGCCTATCCGCCCGCGTCCGCCGCCGCCCCGTGCCCCCACAGAACGAGTTCGTGCGGCCCGGCTTCGACCTGGGCTTCCGCGACGGCGATAAGTACTACATTAACAACCACCTGCGGTTTACTGTCCTGGTGCACCCCACAAACGGGGAGTACACCTGGCGGCCGGCCGGCGGGACGGGCCTCGACCGGCGCCGCCTGCTAGCGGGCGCCACTGCAGGGGCAGCGGCCGGCGCGCTGGGCGGCGGGGCAGCGCTCTCGGCGGCGGAGGGCGCGGCAGGCACGGGCACGCGGCGGCTGGCGCAGAGCGGTGAGAGCGGTGCGGCCGGAGGCGGGGGTCGGCACAACCACGCGCCTCCTCCGGGCGGGGGGCGGGGGCGCTGCCCAGCAGGCGCTGGCTCTGTGCCAAGGGCGGTGTGCGCTGGGCCAGGGCATTCCGCGCCCCCTCCCCACCCTCACCCTCCCTTTCCGAGCCCTCACACCCTCACCCCGCATCCGCCCAACCCCCTCCCCTCCCAGGCAACACCGCAGGCGCAGCTGCTGAGCAGCTGTACATGGTGGTGGGCTTCGAGGTCAAGGTCTGCTCCATCGCCCGCACCGCCGGCAAGACGGTGGACAACGTGGAGTGCGGCATGGGCGGCGCGGCCGAGCCTGCGCCGCAGGAGATCAAGGAGAAGGCGGAGGTGGTGTACACGTACGACGTGTTTTGGCAGGTCAGCGAGACCCAGTGGGCCAGCCGGTGGGACGCCTACCTGCGGATGCCCGGCGGGAAGGTGCACTGGTGGGCGGCGGCGGCGTGCGTGTGCAGGGGGGGCGGTGCGTGGGGGCGCGGGTGTGTTTGTGTGTGTTTGTTTTGCAAGCGAGCAGGCGCGCGTGTGTGTGTGTGTGTTTGTGTGTGTGTGTGGGAGCAAGCATGCCCCAGCATCCCCTCCCTGCAGTCGTACGGCAGAGACCAATGAAAAGGCCACGCAAAGCTGCTGCTCGAGACGGGCTGTCGCATCAC